ACACACACACACACACACACACACACACTGCTATAAACCTTATTTCAAAAAGCAACACATCATTTCCACTTTGGACCTCTGTTAAAGCCCAACTGATAATGACGCTGTTCAGACTGTAATAGCTGTTATATGTATCAAGTCTGCCAGAATTCATGGTCTGTGTAAGAGCCTTGTAGTGTATTTACTGCATTGTTGTGAAATGAGGTAAGTGTTATGGTTTGACTCTACACGCTGCAGGTACTGGTCCAAACGTGATGTTATTCGTTTTCATCGTACCTGTTTGTTATGAACACAGCAGACTCTCATGAGTCATGTTTGAATGGTTTGGTGCAAAACTGTAATTCAGTTATCATAGACACACAAACATTAGTTAAGTGGCTGCTGTAGCTCAGGAGGTAGAGCGTGTCGTTCACTAACCAGAGGGTGAGCAGTTTGATTCCAGGCTCCTTGGGCAAGATGCTGAACTCCAAATTGCTCCTGACCACTTTGCCGGCAGTGTGTGAATAATGTGTGATAGAAAGAGTTCCATTGTGTGGTTGGCAGATCTGTACTCTAAAGTAGTAAGTGGTCATCATGACTAAAGAAGCATTATATAAATATACAGACGTACATACACAACACAGTTTACCCTAAATGTTTAAAAGACACTCAGAACAAACAGCTACAACATGTGATTCCCTTGAGGCTTTCCTTGTTTTATATTTCTAAATGATTCTATGTAGTGCATGGTATTTATTCTGAGATGCTAATGATAGAGTCTCTGGAGATGCACCCATGCAGCACATATGGAATCTACCAAACAAAGCAAATACAAAGAAAAATATTTCTCAATTACACGGTGTCATGCAGGATGTATGATGTCATTTCCTTTGGGTAAATAACACATTAAATGTTGAACTGTTGTTGCATGATGTCCAACAAATATCTGAAGTGTTAAAAAGGACAGAACAAGGTATTGAAACATGATGTGATTCAAGTATTAAAGTAAAATATCTTACAGTTATTTATTCATGCTTGTTAAGAAATAAAAACCCTGCCCTGACGATTCCTCAGGCATATTTACAAAGGCAGAATACAGCACATCATATCATATTCTCTTGTTTTTCCTCTTTCACTCATTGAATAGTTCTTTACTGGTCTTTATTTGTGGAGCTCCTGCAGAAGTCCTCTCCCTTTCATTACACATTGAATGCTACAGCCCCCATGCAGCAGCACGGGGGGGAAACACCGTATGAAAGCCATCCATTCCCCTTTGGAAATCAAGAGGAGCTCCTATTCATTTGCTTAATTACCTAATTAACAGAAAGCTAATTACTTTGTTGTGTGCACGCGAGTGTGTGGAGAGGACCTTATGTAACTGATAGTGATCCTCAATTAATTTGCAACTACACTCCATCAAGTCAGGGCTTTAATCCAGACGACACATCAGCAGCGTGACAAGGGGCAGAGCGGATTATAAATTCAGACACAGGGCTGTTGTTGGGCACCGCTGAGCTCACACATCCAGTATTGACATGCAGATCAAGCCACTGAAGAATTAGAAAGCTTAGATGATGTGTTAGATTGCCTTCATAACACAGTTAGTACACATGCATTTTTACAGCACACAACAATGTTTACACCACTATGAAAAAAAAAAACTAGTGTAATCCAGTGAAAGATTGACTC